TTTGCATGTCTAGAGAACGTGGGTGAGCAGTTCTTCGGAACACAAGACTTGTGTATTCTCAGTCTGCTTCGGCAGGCACAACCGGCTTGCTCGTACCCGTGTGCTTGCGCTGGCCAAAGTACCACAGAAAGAGCCTCCCCCTTCCTGTCGGACTCTTCTCTACCGGGTTTCGATGTGGCCTTGGTTACGATGTGTAAGAAACCGATGAAATTTCATCCCAAAACCTTACCACCGGCAGCCCAACACCTGCAGGTCCTGGGCCGCTGGCGTTATGGCTTTCTAGCTGCCTGTGTACAGACGGTCTCAGGGTTTGCCAAATAGGCCAAACGAGTCTTAGTCAGACGGTGCGAGGACGGGTGACATACGTCACGGTCGCGGAAGTCGTCGGCTTATATGTTCTCCGCCGAGCATGGCATGTGCTGCGCTGCACTCCCATGTATACCAAAAGCTCATGTGCTGCGTTGACCACTTTCGGAGCTGGCTGCCTATGGCTATGACTGAGGTACCGATGCGGATATGATGACGCTTATTAGGCCGATGAGTGACTGCACTGCTGGCCTCTTCACAGCAAAGCGGCATGCTCACGGTGAAGCCAACACAATGACTGCAGCTTTCTAGATCTCAAGTGCTTACAATCATCATCTCCACACCTGTGCTCATTGTGCTTCCCAGCAACAATGGTATTGGTGTGGGACCCGATCGCGGACTTGAACCTCCAAGTGTTCGAGACTGCATTCGGTCGGTACGTCTTGTTACACCACATCTTCGGATCCTTCGAAGCTTCGAAGCTTGGGAGTGTCAAGAAGGATGAGGTGGCTTCGACCAATGCCTCCAGTCTTGCCCTGGTGGCCAATAACGACCAGATCCAAATGCACCCACTCCGCACAGCCGAGAACACGCATCTCTGGGCGAAACTCATGCCTCTAGCGCTTCTTGATCCTTCGCTGCGTAGGAACACTCACAGGAGATCCAGAGCTCTGGTGCTCAAGCCACATTTCGGTGGCAGGAGTCGTAAGGTCAGAATCGAGTCGTATGATGGTCCCCCCCGCCAGTGGAAGCTTGGAGCTGGCCCAGAAGGATTCTATCGACGGAAGGAAGAACTCCGGGGCAACAAGTGCAAGAATCGCGGCCCTCGTCGACGGAGGAGGGCCCTGTAGAAGTCTTGCAATAACATGT